CTCTTCACATCCGGGTTGTCGACCTTCAGAGCAAACTTGATCTCACTGTGCAGCTTCTGCAACTTCTCTTCCACAGAAGGTTCTTTCTTCTTCTCCACCTTCCTGTCCAGCGGGGGCCCTTCTGACCGCTTCCGGGTCCGTTCTACCTTCACCGGCCTGGCCCGGGGCTTCTCCTCAGGCCGCCCTCTCTTCTCCTTCTGGCTGACCTTCCAAGTGGGCTCCGTGCTCTGTGCTTGCAACTTCTTGGCGGATTTCTTTCCCTCTCTCTCCAGGTCCCCTTCGGGCTCTGAGTCAGAGGAGGAGGGTGGCCCTCGGCCCCGGCCCTTGCGGCCCCGCTTCCTGACGGGCTCATCGTCCTCCCTGAGCTCGTCCCCACTGCTGCCGCCGCTGGCCCTCTCAGCCTCCCCGAGCTCAGCCCGCTCCCGCCGCCGCTCCTTCTCCTCCTTCTCCTGCTCCCGCAGCCGCCGCAGCTCCTCTTCCTGCTCCCGCCGCCTCCGGGCCTCCAGCTCCCGCCGCCGCTCCTCATCCCGCCGCTTCCACTCACTGATGCGGTCCACCTCATCACTGTCACTGTCGCTGCTGGAGGTGGAAGGTGGCCGCTCAAGCTTTGGTTTCCGTCCTCGGGGCTTTGGGGGAGGCTTCTCAGCTGGCTTTCTGCCCCGAGGAGGTTTCTTGATAGACACATCGGAGTCAGAGGAGGAGGAAGAGGAGGAGGAAGAGGAGGAGGAAGACGCCGACCTGGCCACAGGCACCGGCTCCTCCTTGGGCCCATCTGAATCCGCTTTGGAGTCTGAGTCGGAAGCTGACAGCACCTTCTTCTTCTTCCGTCCACCCAGGGGGGCCCGCCGTGGCGCCCGGACCACAGCTTTCTTTTCAGGGGTGAAGTCTTGGTCACTGGTCTTCTCAGACTCGGACGAACTCTCCGAGTTCTCCTCTTCAGAGGGCGACACGCTGGCTTGCTCCAGGTCGCTGGAAGCTTTCCGAGCTCGCTTGGAGACTGACATCTTCAGTGCCGACGTCTTCCGTTTCAGACCGCTGTTGTCGCTGCTTTTATCAGAGTCTGAGTCACTCTCCATCCTGTCGCTGGCGGCTGCGGCAGTAACAGCTGTGACGGCCATGACCCCTCAGTCCTCCTCGTCCTCCTCAGCGTTGCTGCCACCCGCAGGCTCAGCCTCGGGGGCCTCGCTCTCAGAAGAGCTCAGTGGCGGAGGGGCACTGTAGCTGGCGTGAGGGTTGTTCTGGATCTCCCAGAGACCTTCATTGAAGCCTTTCCTCTTGTTGGGTTTCCCATACTTATCTTTGCACTTGTCATATGGGAACAGGTCCTTGGGTCCCAAGAAGGCTGTTTCGTGTGTACCAAAGAAGAAGATGGGATATTTGTTGGGTGGGGGCTTCACGGCACCATCGGCAATATCGTCAATCCGGGCGGGCCAGTGCGGATAGCCCTTCATCTTGGCGAATACTAAATCCCAGGGCTTGAAGGCGTGCGGCATGCTGGCGGCGGGAGGCCCAGGCCGCGGGAAGCGGCTGAGGCGGCGGCGGCGGCGGCGGCAGCGGCAGCAGCTACAGCAGCCTCAGTTTTATCTTAGTTTGTTATGTTTCCATCTTTTTTTTTTTTTTCCTGTTGGATAGTGATGTGGCTCATAACGTTATTGATATTTGTTTCCTCTTAGCTGCAGTGAAGAACTATTGTATCCCTGTACCTCATATTTGTATTTATTCCTGCTTAATTAGTGTGACCCACTGTCAATTTGGATATATTTAATCACTCCTCATAGAACAAAATATTTTTGTCTTTTAGAGATAGGGTTTCACTATGCAGTTCAGGCTGGCCTTGAATTAACTTTGTAGCCCAGGCTGGCTTCCAACTTGCAGCAGTTTTCCTGTCTCAATCTGAACAGTTCTGGGATTACAGGTGTGTGCTACCATACCTGACCAAACAAATTTTGACCATATTGTACGAACAATCTTCTTTTTACCTGCTTCCTAGATTTTCTTCAGTGCAATTCACTTAAATCTATCAAACTGATTTTTGTTTCTCCAGCAACATGCATATTTTTTTAAACATCTCTGAATGCTGAGTCTTTAATATTGTTTTTACCTCTCTTTGTTGCTGAATTTACCCAGTATTAATAATTTTTGAAGTAATCAAATTTAGCTACGATGTCCAGAAACTATTTAGACATGATAGTTAGCAGTTAACAAACTTTTGTAACTAATGAGTTCGTATTTTAGACAGTAAGAGCAATCATTGTGTCTGTATAGGTAAGCAGATATTAAATTGGGAATTTGCATTTAAGTTATTTCCCCTAAGTTCTGTCTGATCACCTCCCCTTGATGTATCTGTAGTTTTCCAGGCAGGATAGTTCACCCTGGTTAACTTTTGTCCTCTCTCTTGGTCAAGAGAGAAAGAGGGAAGATGCTCTCATAGATGTGGGTCTAGCAAAGTGTCTCAGCTTACTGAGTCCAGATCCATGAAGTTTGAATTCATCCTAAATGTGCCTGGCTTGGATCTGCCTTCTATGCTCAGTTTCTTCTTGCTATAGCCCATGAAAGTGAACCCTGTGTGCCCCTCTGGCAAGATGTTCTCCTCCTGGATTAAGTCGGTGGTTCTGACCACTACCCTCTCTGCAGGTACTTCAGCTGCATAGTTTTAACACCAGGCATGTATGCTGGGCCTGGGCTGGGTCTGGAGGTGTCAGGATGTGTCCCGACAACTAGGCAAAAGGTCTCACAGACCAGGCCTGAGCTGGGTCCAGAGGGGTCCACCACGTGCTGAGGATTGGAAGCTGTCCCACACACATACCAGGTCTTAGCTAGGTCAGGAGGGACTTACACGCCAGGCCTGGACTGGTCTGTATTTGATTTTTCTTGATGCTATTGTTCATAGCATCATTTTCATGCTGATTAATTATTATTATTATTATTATTATTATTATTATTATTATTATTATATTTTTTGTGGCCAGCTCAGTCCATCCTGTGGTCAGGGCTGGTGTGGCATGTTGTGCCAAGGACTAAGCTATGGTCTCTGCACTTGCCTAAGGCCGCTGAGCTATCTTACCAGCTTGCATTCATTATTTGTGTATTATATCCTTTGCTAATTTTTCACTGAGAGTCTTTTTATTTGCAAATTATGAATTATTTCTATATTCTCATTGAAATTCCCTTTGTTTTTTTTGTTTGTTTGTTTGTTTTGTTTTTTTGTTTTTGGCAGAACCAGGGATTGAACTCAGGCCCTTGCGCTTGCCAGGGAAGTGCTTATTCCACTGAGCCATCTACCCAGCCCCTGAAATTCCCTTTGAATACATGAATTATAAACATTTTCCCCTTTTCTGTATCTTCTCTTTCTTCAGTGTGTGATTTTCATAAATTTCTATTAGTGTATATGATACAAAATAATTATATTCATCTTGGGATATTGAAACATGCACATATTACAGCTTCATCACCCCTTCTTTTCTCCCTCTCCTCTTTGTTCTGTCTCTTTTAAGTTGCTGCCCCCCAAAGAATCTAATTCTTCCTTACCATCTTGCTCTGTTCTTTATTCTTCTGTTTCAGTCTCTCATAGTAGAGACAGTGTTATATTTAACTTTATGCGTCCAGCTTTTGTGACTGTTTTCTATGAAACAAAAGATCATTTTAATCTTCAGTTTAATCTACTTTCTGTTTTTAAATTCTTACTATCATATCTAAGTAGTCATAAACTATCTTTATTCATTACATTTTGTTCCTGTGTTTTCCTTTAAAGTTCATAGTTCAAATATTTATGTCTTTTATCCACTTTGTACTATTGTTTTAGGTACCATTAGAGATCTAAAACCATTCTCTTACATATAGGTGGCCAGTTTTCTCAAAATGCAGCCACCCTTACCAAAACTCAATTTGCCATTGCTACAAAGATTTTTGGAATTAAATTCATGTTGTAAGGGCTCAGCAGAATAAACTCCTACATAGGAAAGCATAAGGACCATATTTCAATCCCTGGCACCACAGCCAGCCCCACTCCTTGGCATGCTGAGTCTTCCACAATACCTAGCTTGGTGGTGCACACATAATCCCAGGACTGGGGAGGCTGAGGCAGGAGGCTCACTACCAGTCCAAGCAGCATAGTGAGAACTTGTACCAACTAATCATTTTATATATTCTTAAGACAATAACAAGATAACTTTATATTAATTTTTGAAATATATCTTCCAAACTTAATTCTACAATGAATATTTTTGGGTAATTCAAGATCCTTTAAAATCCATATGATGTTAAAATTTAATTCACTTATTTCTTTAAACAATGCCAACTGAGATGTGATAGGAATTGTGTGATAGGAATTGTGTGAATTTATAAATCTGGAAATACTGCCATTTTCACAATATTAAATGTTGTGATCCATGATTGCTGAATATCTTACTCTTTATTTATACGTTTTATATTTTTTCATTAATATTTATAGTTTTCAGTACATGGGTATTGCATTTCTTTTTTTCAGATTATAAGTACTTTATTTGATGCCACCTAAATGCAATTGAATTTTTAATTACATTTATGGATAGAACATGGTTAGTACATATAAATTCAGTTGTTTGTTGTGTATTGATTTTACATTCTACAAATGATGAAATTTTTAATTTTGATAGTTTATAGTAGAGTTTTGAGGATAAAACATCATGCCATTGATGAATAGAGGTCATTTTAGATTTTTCCTTTGAATTAGGACTCCTTTTTCTTTTTTTTACCTGCTTGCCCTAGCTAGATTACCTAGTTTAATGTTAAATAAAAGGGATAAAAGAGGATATCCTCTGCCTCATCTAAAAGAAAAATATTTAATCTTTCAATAATCAATATGATTCCAGCTATAAAATTTTCATGTAGAGCCTTTAAATCCTTTAGGAATTTCAGTTTTATCCCAGTATGTACCATTTGTTTTATTATGAAAGTATGTTGTGCTTTATTAAATATTGTTTGCTTTTTAAATGATAATATTTGACCCATATTCTTTTAAAATAGTTCATTACTTTTTTATGTATTTGGGACAGGGTCTCACTGCACAACTTGGACTAATAGTGATCCTCCTGTTTTCAACCTTTCCAGTGCTGGGATTATAGGTGTGCACCTCCACTCCCATTTTCAGTGGACTCAGCATGCCTGAGGGTGGGGTCAGCATAGCATGTGGTGCCGCAGATGAAACCCTGGTGTCTGTGCTTGCCTAAACAGGCAGTTAGTCTGCTGAGCTATCTCGCCAACCAAATAGTTCATTACTTTGATGGTTTTTTGGATTTAAATGTGGGATAAATCAGTTACAAATAATGTATTATATTTTTCTATATATTATTGGGATTACTTTTGGGGGGAGATTATTTTGATAGCATTTTATTGAGGATATTTTTTGCCATAATTTTATTGATAAACAAATAGCAATGAAACAGTTTCAAATCAAATCGGTAGGACAGTTTCAATAAGTAACACACTACATACATTATTCTTAGTGGTTAATTGCTCTACAAGATGTGGACCTGACATCCTATTTACAAGCACCATTAAAACAAATCATTCTATTCATTAAGAGAATGTAACTACATATCTATAACAACCTCTCTGAATACACAGATACAAAATGGACATTCATCTGTGTACACTTTTTTTTTGTTAAGTTCCATTGTTTGAATATTATAGATGTGTAAACTCAGCAAAACATTCCAAAAGAGTTCAGCAGCCCACAATAGTATGGGGTCTTCCGCTTAACTGGCAATGTCACAAATCGATGACCTGAGTCCCCCACAGCTCAATATAACAGCACGGCGTTACTTCTTATATTTCGTTTTTATACTTTTCTTCTGGATGGTTAAGACCAAGGTAAAGCAGGACCTATGCAACAAGAGTTTTAGCTTTTGGGTCTGATAAGGTCTGTGAAATCCCCTCAGGATTTATCCTGAGATCCTGTA